TTAAAAATGTCTCCGACTGATGTTGCCCTTTGTACTTTACTTCTTATGACGTTTAAAACACTTGCCACGTAATACCGTGACCGTCCATCCTGGATTAAATTAATGGCTCTGGCAACATCAGTCGGAGACATATCCATTTTTTAAAGTAAGAAGACACCTCAAAATTTAAACCTTAATTTGCAAAAAACAATTTGATAGCTTTTGAAAGCCATGTATGATATGTCCAAGTATGGGATGATTCAACAAAACTGTCACTGTCATTCTCCATAGCCTATGGATGGACCATAGCAACCTTAGTTCTTCATACAGAAAAATATTGGAAATTGCAATGTTTTTAAAAAATCCATATTTTCCACAAAAATAAATATATCAAGGTGAACCAAAAACAAAACTGTTAAAAATAGATGTGACTTGATAATTAAAACTTAATTTTTTGCCACTCTACAGAGTGTCTTAAACTTATGGTAAAAAACATCTTTTTGTTTAAACCGTACGTCCAATGTTTGGTAATTTTTTAAAATGTGAGCGATTGTCCATTAATTTATCTACAATATTCTTTAATATTCGTTTAAATCCGACATCAAATAAAAAAGTTATTTGCGATTGAAATTCATCGAAAATTTGTGTGGATCGATTATTTTGCCTGTGAGTGTATTATTGGGGTTTTATTAAGGTTAGGTTTTCAAAATTTCTTTAGTTTAATAATTCTGTTTTTTTTTAATGAATCCTGTTCGTGACATTATTTTCTCAATAATTGAAACGCCTTTTGTGTTGTTCATCTTTTACGTGAGGAAGAAAGAAAGGCATATAATACTGCCAAAATCAAATTTACAAAAATAGCTGTAAAGGATAAAAGAGAGGTAAACCCGTGCTACGCGTAACACCGGAGAACAAAGCTAAAACAAAGGCAAGGCAGGATTTAACCTTTGTTGGTGGATTAAATTGATTCGTACAGTTTATATGCCACAATTCAAACGTTTTAGCCAAGCCCTAAGTCACTTTTTGTCGCTCCTTTTATGCAGTGAAATAGTTTAAATTAAATTTATGGAAATCGTATATTTTAAACCGTACCTAAACAAGAAATATTCGTACCTCATAGTACACAGTAAAATATTTATATGTATTTATACGAGGTGTGTTCAGAAAATATCGGGAATTTTAGTTTTTTGAAACAAATATTTATTTATTCGTCTACATTAATGTTGTCGCCTTCAAAATAGTCCCCATTGGATATTATGCACATGTGCCAGCTCTTCTTCCAATACTAGAAACACTTCTAAAACTCGATCTTTGGGATAGCCTTTAGTTCTTTCAGCGATGCGCTTTTAATGTCATCTATGCTTGCAAAACGACGGCCCTTTAAGGTTCTCTTTATTTTTGGGAATAGGAAAAAGTCAGACAGAGGCATGTCTGGCGAATATGGAGGCTGGGGCATCATTACAGTATTGTTTTTGGCCAAAAATTTTGTTCAAAATTTAACAATTTTAGAACAAATTTTGCTGGCACGCGTTTCATACCCAAAACATTCGAAAACATTTCATGGGATGAGCCAATCGATATACCAACAACATCAGCGACTTCTCTGATGGTTTATAACCATTTATTCCACTTTTTCCATGTTTTCATCGGTTGTTAATGTGCTTGTGCGTTCGGGGCGTTCGTCATCTTCAACGTCTTTACGGCCATCTTGGAAACTCTTATACCACTTGTAAACTCTTGTTTTACTTATAGCAGACTCACTATAGGCCTTTGTTAACATTTCACAGAATTTATTTCATTTTTTAAGCAAAATTGGATACAAATTCTTTGATAAATTTCTTTTAACTAACGAAAAATCGCCGAGAACATAAAACACGTCTAACCTTAGCGGCTGCTACAGACAAAGTAAACAATGAAAACAGCAAAAGTTTTTATCATACTTCGGGAAGAAAATTTTATGACAACCGGACCCTCCTAACCCGCGAAATTTAACAATTCCCGTTATTTTCTGAACACACCTCGTATGTATATTTCACATATTTCTTGTGTCCCAGAAAGTCCACTCAAATTGTCGTATATCATTTATGTTATAAACACTAGGAAGTTTATAAATGTAAATTTTTACATTTTTTATTTTTAACTCTGTAATATTGAACGGTTTGCTAAAATGGTTGTAATTTAGGAAAATCGTATAGGTATAAAATCTGCAGTAAACTTTTATTTATGGTTGTGACAACTCGCTAATTTCTAATGCCGATCGAATGTTGCATAATAAACAAATAAAAGACAAAAGCAAATACTCAGGTGGTCAGGATGACACTTTTTTCCAAGAACTTTTCTTCGTACTCATACGGTTATACCCAAGATGGTAGAGACACTGAATATGGATTGTTAACCAAAAACGGCTCTAGCAGGAAATCTTTTGTTTGCTCCTATAATTTTTTTTTAGTACAGCTAAATAAACAGATTTTGCAAAATCCTGTATAAACTTTTTAACGTTTTAAGATTGTGAAATCTAAAAAGAGATTGGACTTTTCTCTATGTATATAGCATTGCAACAAAGCTTATCTCCAAATATAGATTCATCATCATTCTACATAATACTTTTTTTTTTATTTCAAATTAACTCAGCTGAAAGCTTGATAACCTCGCTCGTGCATTTCTATATTTGTAAAAATATAATCAATACCAATATAAAAATGCAGGCAACGACTGGTTATCTGAATAAGTACTATTAAAAATCGTGTCAACGTAATCATAAAGGACAAAGAAACATCTTTTGTGTCGATCATTATTATTATGGACAAGTAATATTGTTTGTTAAATAACTACAAGTTTAACATGCAGTGGCATCAAGTAAATATTTATGTTCTATTTTCGGTTTTACTTTAAAATACACCAACGATTTTTTTAAAACTTTTTTATTATAAATGTTATATCATCCAAATTATAAAACCTAAATTTCTTAATTTGGTTACAGAAATATTTATATCACTCTTATATAACCCTTAAAGAGCTTACTTGGGGAGTTTATAAAACCTTGTTAAACTCTTATATAATTTGACAATTTTGTAAACTAAATTACTAATTAAAAATGGCAGTCAGTGACTTATAAAAATATAGACAAGCCAAATATTTTTAAAATTATATAATTTTTAGTATTTGCTAATTTTGAAAAAAATAAATTTATATTCCCACCTTTAAAACGCCCTTTATCGAAAATGTTTCCATGACACTAAGTGACCTTTTAAATACACGTTGACAAGTTGTGGCTTTATGGCGCTTTAGTCACGGGCTGAAGTTAGCAACAGGTTTTTAGTCACGGGCTGATGTTAGTTTACAATCGTTAAAATAAAGTGCCTTTCTTGTAAAATAATACTAAATGTGAAAATTATTTTATTATCTAAATACAAAACTACAAAAGAATTAAATAGTTTCTCAACGCCAATATTTGAAACGTTTATATGAACATTGTACTGACCTTTTAATTTCGCCGGCAGTAAACTATAACTTAAATTTGGGCACGGACTCCACTGTAAAGTGCTCATAAAACATTTTCTTTACTTTCACTGTGAAAAACTGCCAATTTTCAAGAAATACATTTCGATTTATAACCTTTATAGTCTGTGTTTATAAAATACAAAAATGTGACATTTGACGGTGACACACAGATTCCCCTATTGTTTCATAGATGGCGCTCTATAAAAATATTTGATTTAAATCATTTTAAGATAATTATAAGTATTTGTCGTAGAAAAAGTATAGTATGCACCTCGTTTATAAACTTTTCTATACACTAAATTAAATTCGTGTATAAAATGGCGTTTATCAAACTTGATACATAATATACTATTAGTAATAAAGAGCAACGTCTAATGTAGAATGAAGTGGTTGAATGTAAATGTAAGAAATTTAGTAAAAATTTATTATAAAAATATTGTTAAATTGTTACAGTCACGCATTCTTTTTGTTATTAAAATATTTAATAAAATAAATTTTATATTTTATTGTCTCCAATGAGCTAGTTGACATGCCACAGCTTTGTTGAGTTTTTTCAAAATTTCAAATACTGTTTGTATAACTGTTAAATTTTTAAAATGTTTGGCAATGTTTTTATAAGTAACTGACTGCTATTTTTTATCAGTAATAGTGTTTACTAAACACTTATTTATTTATAAAAAACTGAAAATTTTAACAATGACTGTTTACGTGGAAATCAAGTCACCCGTCACAGGTTTCTTGATAGAAAATAATATTTAAAATTTTAAAAATATTAATTGTTTTTTTAATTTACTGTATAGTTCTATTAGAAATAATAATAATAATAATTAATTATACTACCAGATGAAAATGCTATTTCTTACATAATTCTATAGAAAGCAGAAGTAGTATTAATGAAATTAATAGTAACTACCTAAAGATCTTCAAATCATAAACTAACAACGCATTGTTATACCCTGATTTACAATATGTTTTGTTAAAGAATACAAAATTGAAAGTAATTTATTTGTTTTACAAGATTTAACTATATTATGACAGAATTTTGGAACAACAATTTAAAATCGTTTAACTTTCGAAACTTTCATAATTATGTCATTTAATATTCCAGTAATTGCTTTTAACATTTTTAAGTTTACTTTTGCCTTCATTGATTTTGTAGAGTGGAACGTGTAGTGCATTATTTTTTTTGATTATGAAACAATAAGGAATATTTGGGAGAAATGTCTGTAAGTCTTTTACCATATTTTGTCTAATCATTTAATTGTGTTTTTAATTGACATATCTCTGATTGATTTAATAATGATTATTATTGAAAAAATCGGCGATTTTTTTCATACTTTCTCCAACCTCCTTTCCCCATCCTAATTGATATTATGTGAATGTATCTACAACGTGTTTTTCAAGAAGGCAACATCATTATTTGTGTATGCAACCAACAAACACATTGAAAACAATTTTTAAAAGGAGCTGACTGTATTTAAAATTAATATACTAAACATAAATAAAATTTCATCATTTTAATGTCTTTAAACTTATTTGCGCGCGAAACAAAAAAGAACGCGCTCGACGTCATCGCGGAAAATTGCTACAAAGTAGGTCAAACTCGAAGTGTAAGGAATGTGGGTCATTCCCAGTGCTGCGCGATTTTCCACGTCCCTTGTATCCCTAGATCAATACCATAAAGGATTTTTCACCCAAAAAAGGACAATGGGTTAAAAAATCCCGCTTTATAAAAAGCACCACTTGCATAGATTAAAATCAGTAAAAGCTTTTCTGGCAAAGGATTTTTATGCAATGTAAGACAGGCGGAATTATTCCTCAAAAATTGAAAGTTTTATTTGTTAAACGATACATATTATTAATTAATTATAATAACAATTATTAAAAGTATAAAGTGAGGTTATAACCTCTAATCTATAGATTGCATTCGAGTTGACAATAGTTAAGACCATATCATTAAACAACTTTGTGATTATTTTTATAATTTAAAACCAAATATTATTTTGGTTTTCTTTCAATGTTATTGTGGTAGGATAATTATAAATATAATCACAAAACAAATTTACCACTAAAAACAAACATTTTATTATCTTTTGTAGTTTTAGATAGAATATAGGATATTAAAAGTCGGAGATAAAATAGTATTTTAGTCGCAAGGGTAGATAAAATGATACTTTAACCAAAGATTAATTATACTTTTCTTCGAAGAAAAGTATATGTAATCTTTGCTTTAACAACAAGGATATATAAAAAACTTAATTTTTTAAGTAGGTACAGGATGATCCCCTATAATGTCGCCCCCCTTTAACTTTTTTATTTTAAGTGTCCCAAAAAATTTAAAAGTGTGGTTATGTAGGAACTAAAAAATACTTTTTTTCTACGTATAAAGAAAATTGGAAAATTGATCAGTATACAGGGAAAAACAAAAAGTTTATTTTTTTTCAATGGATCACCCTATATTTGAATTTATTTTTCGATTCCTTGTAAAATTCTGAGCATAATTTATATACAAACCATATACCTAAACTTAACCGTTTCTGAAATATTCGCATTCGAAATGTCATCATTAAATGTTTTATTAAACTGTTCAAAATCAAGAAGCCTCAGTATACCAAAATTTTTATTAAAAATAAATTACTATAGTGACATTATGTCAATAAGTGTTGTTAGATAAGTAAAAATGGCGTACTTAGACAGAGAAAGACAAACTATTTCAACTTATTATCTTAAAAATAATTTAAATATTTCATAAACAGTTGAATTTAGGTATATGGTATGATATATGAAATATGCTTAGAATTTTACAAGGAATCGAAAAATAAATTCATATATAGGGTAATCCATTGAAAAAAAATTAACTTTTTGTTTTTCCCTGTATACTGATCAATTTTCCAATTTTCTTTATACGTAGAAAAAAAGTATTTTTTAGTTCCCTCATAACCACACTTTTAATTTTTTTGGGACACTTAAAATAAAAAAGTTAAAGGGGGGCGACATTATAGGGGATCACCCTGTACCTATACCTATGTATGAATATCCCAATAAACATTTTTCTTTTTATAGTGGTTACAGAAATATTTATATCACTCTTATATACCCCTTAAGGAGCTTATTTGGGGAGTTTATTTTACTAACACTATAAAACTCAAGTTTTATAACTAGAGATAACAGGAATATTATGAAAACCACTATAGCCCTCTTATATTGCTTATGGTAATTTTATATAACCTAAGGTACTAGATTAGTTTTATAGGACTATGTAAGTTACTTAAAGTGTTATTATAAACCTACTGGTAACGGTTACTAAAGGTTATATAAAATGTTTGTAGAAACAATTATATAACCTAATTATATACCTAGACTTTACAGTAACCTTAGATGGCCATTATAAAACTAGTAAACTAAATGAAAATTTTATAAAACCTTGTTCAACTTTTATATAATGTGACAACTTTTATGCAACCTTTATATAATTTATCGTTACCATAAGTAGTACAACCACTTTATAAAACCTTGTTAAACTTTTATATAATGTAACAACTTTTATGCAACCTTTATATAATTTATCGTTACCATAAGTAGTACAAATTGTTAATTGGAATATGGGTCATTTCACCAAATACTCTAGCAAATTTTTCAGTATTATTGGTTTAAACATAACCTCAATTATTTTTATATATATATTTTGTGTTATAAATGTATAAACAAATGTAATAGTAATTGTTGAATACAATAATGAAGAAATCTGCTTTGCTGATTTGCGGTTTCAAAACGTAACCATAGATGGCGCCAAACGTATTTTAGTTCACATACTTCCATACATATACCGCTTATTCAATATATTTTTGTTTCCTTTTTTTAGCATAGTCAGTTCATAAGTGGGGGATTTAAAATATATGATACCATAGACATATTAATACGTCCAAGTATGATACGAATTGTCAACCAAATAAAATTTAGGATATATTAAATTATTTGCTTACATCGTCTATGATAAGCCTACATAAATTTCTGTGCAAAAGCAAAAAGTGGCATAATATGCTATTATGTAAAAGCGACTAAAAATCTAGTTAACACAATAAAAAAAGCAATTATAAAAACCATCTACATATTAGTATGTCTATGATAAAAACCTTTTGGCTATCGTGGTGGAAATACGACGTTGCCAAATTCTTGCTATTATATATAAAGGTCATTTTTTTAAATCTGGACTGCGGCAACGTTGCAAATTTAGGGTTTTGGTTGGTAAATACAGTTGTCAAGTTGGTCGCATTGATTAAAACAAACTAAGCTAGTTATAAATCTAATTGTGGTTATGTATAAATTATTGTAGGTTACATTGTGCAGTTGTCAAGTTGAGTTGTCGAAATTCGTAATTAATTTGGCTTTGGTGGTGCTTGGATGAGTAAAATCATATAAAAAAAGTAGTTAAATATAGGTTGCTTTACGACCCAGAAGAGAAAGTATTCCTAGCAGATAATAATCTTCGCTTTGAAAAGAATTTATATAAAAGAAATTAAAATTTTTTGTGAACGTCAATGTTGTCCAATGGTGAATAATGTGAAAATAATGTGTGATGTAATATTTATAAAACCAAATTCGTTACTATTTTACTCCAAAAATGTCCATAAGGCGATGTACTTTTTCTTCCATTGTGGCATTTGGCATAATTTCATCAAAATGAAGTTTTGACCTCAAAAAGGCTTTTACTTTCGAATTCGTTGCTATTATTTTTGGCATAATTATCTTTTTATTTATTTTCTTTAAATATTGTCAATTTGACAGTGTCAAAGTACCATTTTTAAATAGGTACTAAAAATAGTCAAACTGGCATAAGCCACCAACCTAACAAAAAAACACGAGTCCAGATAAAAAAAATGAACTGTAACATCTACAATATCATCATTTTGTGTGTTTTATTTTTGTTAAATGCTTTTTTCATAAAATTTATATACAATTTATTAAAAAGTATTTATTATACCTCCCAAATAGGGACAAAAATATGGTTGTATTACACACGATGATAAAGAACATTTTATCGTCTTGTATAATAGATAACTATAATTTGAGATACGTGCAGTCTTCTTAATAAATTAAAAATGCATTTGGATAATTATATTAAAATAATTTTGTTATCTATTAAAATATGAATTCGTTACTTACAAACCACTTAAACACAAGTGTTTTTTAATATGAATTTAATTAGGTAGATAATTAGTAAACTGACAAAACTAGAAACTATTATGTGCAAATAAATAGGTTTAATTAATCAATCAATTAATTATTTTTGTTATGGCTTCATAGATATGCTATTTTATGAGGTCAGAAATAAATAAATTTTGAAAATATGGTACCATTGGTAAAAGTGTTTTTATGGTACAATGTAATCTGGAAATACGAATTTATTTATTCTACAGTGGTCTGTAATTTTACAGTTACCTACACTGATTTAAAACCATGTAATTTCAATGTATTTTCATCAAGAAGACTAGAGACAGGAGTACAAGCTGAGATTAAATCATCCATTCTCTAGTCTTCGTGATTTTCACTATTGTAACATTTTTAATGAAAAATTTTTTTTTGAAATTTTCAGATGCATAGTTCAAGTTTGGACACAGAGGGTAGTAGCTCGTTGGTGAAGAAAGATGGTGACGAGGCGTTGGTGACGATTGCTACGTTGGTGACCGAAGGTAGAATACCAGGAAAATCAGGCTCGAAGACCAAGAAGTTTTACGAAGGACCTCACTGCACTCCACATAAACCCCAACCCGATAACGAACACCACTGCGACCTAACAGATCCATTGGTAAGGTATTGTTATTGTGTAGTTAATATTGTTGAGCGCCTATATGGCCAGGCCGGCCCTGGAAGCATCCAATCGTTGAAACTCACAAGTTCTTTGCGAAATATTCTAGCCATTAACCGGTTTTTAATTTTAATTGGACCTAATTGAGATTTCCTCGGGTGATTCAACTTCTGATCTGATGACTTTTACCTCTAAGTATACCGACCCAGCAACTTTTCATCACATATAATTGCCTGTTGAGTAAATAGGTCAACTATTTTCATGAAACTTTAATTGGCACCCACTTATCTAAACAGGATGTCAAGATACAGCAACGTTTTTTAGATTGTTTAACATTAGCGTATTATTATTTTAAAAATGTCTTGGGGCTCACCAGTGCCGGTTAGCCAACACTCCATACGGCCCAAAAGATTTAGACAAATATTTTTTTAGCACGGCTACTGTTAAAGCTGAAAACCCATTGTTAAACCCTAAAAAATGTTAATTAGCAAAACACTAAATTTTTAAAATAAATTGTAACAAAATCTAAAGTTAATATTTTTTTAGTGTAAGAAGTATAACACGAACAAGGACGTAATAAGGAAATTTTGGCGTAAAAAACAACCGTTGTGCATTGAGGTAGTCTTACATTGCGCCTGTAAAGAACGAAAGGATTTTGATTCTGACATTTTATTGGAACAATGGTACTTTACTACTAATTACAACAGGTAAGAAAACCATATGGTCTTATAGGTATATACTATTTCTAATGATTGTTTGAAGTTCAGTGACTCATATATAGTAAATTTAAAAGGAAACGACGTACACGTCATAATTTTGCGCACTAGTACCAACACTAATCGTATAAAACGAAGTCTGTAATTGAATATTTTAATGCATTTTAAACAACTTTAGTTGGCAGCAATTGCAATGTTGTCATGTTTAGATTAAAATTATGCTTAATAAAATGACGCATAGAAAAAGAAATTGACGTTTTAGAATTTCGAAGCTGTCAGTTATGTTTTTGAATATTTCGTTTAATTTGTGTGTAATTTCGTTTATTTTGTTTGTTGTTTGCGTTATTTTATATCGTTTAAGTTTTCATTGCCGTTTTTGTGGTTGTTATATATCGTTGTTTTGTTTTTCCTATATTTAAAATGCCGAAGCATTTATATAGTCAGAGTCAAGAGTTGGTATCATCCCTAATACGTTATTTTGAGGCAGATAGGGATAATAATGGACCTTTGTTACCTTTAACAGCTGTTAGAGAGGTAAATAGGATTATTATTAATTATATATTAGAATATTTAACAAAATATATATAACAAAGACTGACTTTAGATGGCAAAATTTTTGGGTTTTATAGCTTAAAATGGCATATAGGTTATAAAACTCTGACTTTTGACATTTTGGTATTCTAAGGTCCCAAATCTAGGGACCCTATGGTATTATTGATGTAAACGCCATCTATCGCCCTGTAGTTGCACTACCACTTTCACTTGATGCAATGATTTTAGCATCAAATTGACAACCATGCCCAATCAGCGGATTGATGACGTGTACGTCGTTTCCTTTTAAATTTACTATATTGGGAGTTTTGTACGATCCATCCAGACCCCGTTAGGTAATTTTTATTCTGACACTGTGTAATTGAGAGTTTAAAACTTTATCACAACTAACGTGTATTTAGATCCAAGAAGAACCAAACAAAACATTTAGTTCGCATTAGATAATAATACACTTTAAGCCGAGTTCATATAGATGCGAATTTGCGAAATACGAATATTCGCATTTCGCAACTCCTATTCATATAGATGCGAATTGTCGGAACCATTTTAGGGACATTGTTTTCTCACTAGGCGATATTTGCCATGGTATTTTAGGGACATTATTTTCTCCCCAGGTGATATTTGCCACACTTGGTTAATATTTTCTATTTGTTTTATTACACAGTGCAACACTAAAAATGTAAACACCGTTTTGAGTGGTGTTCTTCAAAGTACTTTATAACAGTAGCAAAACCCCAGTTGGGTTTTGCTAGTTTGTTTCCAATAAGGATTTTATTGCATTTTGAAAATTTTGACTCAGGCTTGTTTATGTTGTAGGATATATTGGCCTATTAATAACCGATTTTAATATATATTTTTTAAATTTGTAGGGTTTTTGTTAGGGATGATCCCATAAAAATTATATAAAAAAATACCACCCCTAAGGGTGAAAAAATGGCGATTAAACTACAAATAGGTCTGTTTTGAAGCTATGATACGAGATATCTTCGCCAACTGTGAACTGTTTTTTTAAATTCTTTTAATATTGTGTAGGGTATATAAATTTATTGAAAAAAATGGAAATTAATTTTTATATTGGCATTTCATCAACTTCCCGTTTTGAAAATTGTTTCTTGGTTTAAAAGGTATATTCCATGGGTTGTCTCATTCTCAAGATGACATGATGGGGCGGTTTTGGAAGCCGAATGTAGGAAAATTTAAAGTAAAATGTGAAAATAAGTTTTACTAAAAAAACTGACTTTATAAAATATATTAGATGCAAAAATTAACAATAATTATAATTATTTATATATTAGAGACATTAAAATCTTTCCGAAGTCTGTTCAACACATCAAAAGACATAATATTATAAAATCTATAAATGCGGCATAAAGTTTGGAAAGGTTTTAACGTATTACCTATTAATTATTTTTTCCTTTTAAATGTCTATAAATATATTTATTATTTTTTGAAATCAGTTAATGTTTTCGCATTAACTGTGTATTGTTTCTCTCTCTGTAGCGGAATAGTATTTATCGACTAGAAGAAAAAAAGTACATAAGAAATTAACCCAAAAAACAGCATACTTTAATAATTCACGTTTTGTTGCTATTAACGTCTTGCGATACAAATTCCCTGTAGCTCAGATAAGTGATTTTAAGTTATTATGGAAAATAGCAAGTGTCCAAAATTAAATGCATTTTGTTACGTGTGTGGTCATTTAGTGCCTAAATTTCAGCAGAAAGATCGAAAAAATTTCTTCACTGAAGAATTTAAAAAAGGATACACTTTATATTTTGACGAAGCGGATTCGAGTGTTGAAGATTTTACGCCAAATACAGTATGCAATAACTGCTATATCAATCTGATGCATTGGTTACATCGACGAAGAAGGAATATGCCTTTTTCTAAGCCGGTGATCTAGATAAAAGACCCAAACGGTCAGGATGCATCCAGGTGCTACGCATGTATTAATTTTGTCCCTCGAATTAACAGGACACAATCGAAATTAAAAAAATATGTTGCCGCTTTTACTGGCACACTTCCGCTGCCACTCCTTGAAGATGTAGAACCACCCAAAGCTCCAAGCCCCGATGTTTTGTCCCAATTGATAGGCGATAGCGTTTTTGCCGATGGAACCAATTTGCAAGATTATATAGACAATTCCGAAGACGAAGAACGAAAATCGCTTACACAAACAGAAATGGACTACATTGTGGCTAAGATGAATTTATCACAGCGAAATTCTGAATTTTTGACCTCATACTTGAAGCATAGAAAACTCACAGAGCATAATGTAAGCATCACTGCATATAGGAAACGCCAAAGGGAGTTTCAGAAATTATATACCAGTGATACCACAAATACATTCACTTACTGCAATAACATCAAAACTTTGGCGAATGGAGTACGTTGCTAGAGATTGGCGTTTATTCATTGATGGGTCCGTTTCAAGTTTGAAAGCTGTGCTGTTGCACAAAACAAACCAAAAACCGTCTATTCCCTTAGCATTGGGTACAAATATGAAGGAGTCTTATGATACATTGAACAATATATTAAAGAAAATCAACTATAATGATCATAAATGGAAAATATGCTGTGATTTAAAAGTTGTCAACATATTACAAGGTATTACCTATAGCAAAGGGTGGTTTTCCTAAATACTTTTGTTTTCTTTGTAATTGGGATTCACGAAGCAAAGTGGACCAATATCATTGTAAGGATTGGGTTAGAAGAACTCCCGAAAACAAACCACAATTAAAATTGGTTAATGATCCTTTAATAAAGGACAATAATGACATATTACTGCCTCCGCTTCACATTAAATTGGGCATTGTTAAAAAATTCATCGAAGTGGCTGTTAAGGATGATGATGAAGTGTTTGACTGTTTGAAAACCATATTTCCAAAACTTAGCAACGACAAAATTAAACATGGTAACTGTTATTTATAAATAATAATTATAATTATTATAACATTTTTATATAGTTGGGCCGATAGAACATGGCCGATACGTCATCACGGTATGACTTAAGTTCGGACATTTGCATTTGTTTTTCATCTTGTCGTATTGAGGTTAAATTCTTTAAATGTCATTCGTCTGAACTTGAGTAATACCGTGATGACGTATCGGCCATGTCCTATCGGCTCAACTATATCAACTTCGCTTGATTCTAATTGTGAATAAAATTTTTAACAGGTGTGCTTAATGGACCAGATATCAGAAAGTTAACTGCAAACGATAGGTTCACAAAAATCCTTAAGAACGATCACCGGAATGCTTGGGATGCACTAAAAGCTGTAATCGAGGGCGTTTTAGGGAAGAATCGTGTGCAGCGAGACGAAGTGAAGAAATTGGTGGGCCAAATGCTTTATTATTTTCCAAAAATTAATGTATCCATGACATTAAAATTGCATTTCCTCTATTTTCACCTAGATGAATTTTTAGAACAATTGCCCACTGAATCGGATGAACAAGGAGAGCGCTTCCATCAGGTAACCATGCCAATGGAAAAACGATACAGGGGAAAAAGCTGGATGCATTGCTTGCGGAAGTATGTTGGTGGAGTCCAAAAATATTTCAATATGAAAGCACTAAAGATCCTGAGGAGACTGAATATGGAGACGCTAATAGAGATATGCCCCTGAATCTTCCCGGATGCTCGAGATCTTTAGAGGCGTCAATGGCAATGGATATTGATTAATTATACCTAGTTAGATTATAATGTAACACATTTTTGAATATTTTTTTCACATTTTTTATAAGAATAAATATTTTATTTGATTTAAAATTAATTTAAAAACAAAACTCTTCCTACATTCAGCTTCCAAAACCACAACACCATGTCATCTTGACTTAGTGAGAATGGGACAATTGTCCAAGGGTTAACCCTTGGTATATGTTTTTTAATCCAAGAAACAATTTTCAAAACGGGAAGTTGATGAAATGCCAATATAAAAATTAATTTCCATTTTTTTCATACTTAGGGGTGGATTTTTTTCAATAAATTTATATACCCTACACATTATTAAAAGAATTAAAAAAAACAGTTCACAGTTGGCGAAGATATCTCGTATCATAGCTTCAAAACAGACCTATTTGTAGTTTAATCGCCAATTTTTCACCCTTAGGGGTGGTATTTTTTCATATAATTTTTATGGGATCATCCCTTACAAAAACCCTACAAATTAAAAAAATATATATTAAAATCGGTTATCAATAGGCCAATATATCCTACATCATAAACAAGCCTGAGTCAAAATTTTCAAAATGCAATAAAATCCATATTGGAAACAAACTAGCAAAACCCAACTGGGGTTTTGCTACTGTTATAAAGTACTTTGAAGAACACCACTCAAAACGGTGTTTACATTCCATGACCTCAAAAATGTTGCACTGTGTTATAAAATAAGAAACTAATGTACCTCCAAAAACTCTTTGTCCATTATAAAGAACAAAAAACAACTTTAGCAAGAAACAGTTCAAATAAAACTCAACAACGATGCAATACAAATGAAATAAACACAGAACATAAACAAAAATGGCGTGGGTACATATAACAAATACGTATAATAGGCATCTGCATTAATGCGCATGCGCCAAATTCGTGCGATTTTCGCAAAATATTGGATCAATCTCAAGATTCCCGCCCCCCAGATTTCAAATCTTGCGAATTCGCAGAATCTGTCGAAACGTCGAAACACTTTTCCCGCCAAATCAAATGGACCAATGAAAACATTTTCGCATTTCGCAAATTCGCTTGTCGCATCTATATGAACCAGGCTTTAGTTACAAGGATCTAGATACTTGCGTGTATAACTAGTTATTTAGTAAAACTGTAACTAGTTCGGATTATTGATTTAGATCATCCGGGCCGCCATTCTTCAACGTCCAGCAGCTGACGAGCGCCATTCGATCGCAGCTGTACTTCTCTCAGATCGCCGCCTGGCTGACGAGCCAAGACGACAACACCCCGTGCAAAATCGACCGTCGCAACCTCTCGTACCGCCTCGTGCAACGGCCAGCAAATCGTCCCGACACGACTAAATTCTCCCTGCCCGCCGTCAAGCATGACTTTCCTTTGACGGACGTCGCCAACGGCTGCGCGTTGAACGTGACGTTCTTGAGTTTGCCGCGCATGTCGTCCACGCCGAATTTCGCGTGCGAGCAATGCTTCCTAATCGACCGAATCCTCGACGATAGAATGCATGTAAATTGCACGCTGAAGGGGAAGCACCGGTGCGAGGATCTGGAGGAGTTCGTGAACGTGGCCGTAGATCAGACGAACTTCAAGAGGCTGTGCTCAGCGTCCACGTCCACGGGAATGAAAATGGATCTCAAAGACAAGGGCCAGATGCTGCTGGACGCGATCGAGCGCAGCGCAGAAGAGAGGAGTGAAAGTGATAGCGATTTATGTGATATGAATGAAAGTGATATATTTAGCATTAAGAAAACGAATAATAAATTTAAATGTGCAGACATGCATTGTGATAGTCCTATTCCGATACTGCGACAAAACAAAAAGATACTACCTCTGGTCCACAAGGCGAAGCAAAAGATTACCTTCGACGACGAGGACGACGACAAAAAGGTCGACATCCCGACCGCTCTGGAGCAAGCCAAGTTCCGCAAAAATTTGGACAACGCCGCCTCGATGGTCTTTCATTCCAGGACCGGGCTGCCGCTGACCAGCAGTCCCGCGCCTGTCAGAAGAGGCAAGAACTGTTTCGACTTCGATTCGTCAATTAACTCGGTCTATGCAATAAGAAGGTAAGAAACTGCGTCTGTTTTTCGTTCTTGGTCAGTAGCTGGTTGTAATTTTAAATAAGACTGATTTCATGTTCAGTACTTGTAAGATACTTTAAACAAAATAACTTAGTTACCTCTGATAACTAGAAACTTTGAGTTAAAAGTATCTTTAGTTCCAAGATACTTTAAAAAGTATCTAAGATACATTCAATTTTCTTAGTTTCTCTAAGAAACTTTCTTGACCCATTACTGGTAATATTCATAAGAAAATATTGAACCTACACCATCTCATCAGTGTTCCACTACACCAAGTTGCCCGACACTGATGAGACCCAATATAGGTCGAAACAGCTCTCTGTCGGCATTTGAAGTTGGTGGAACGCACTCAAAACAAAAAACTTTGGCGAGGTGTAGGTTCAATATTGTCTTATCTAAGATACTATATGAAAGTATCTAAGATACTTTTGAGTAACTAAGATACTTTTAAGTGTGAATAAAAACTATAAAACTATGAAAATTCAACAAGTTGTAGGTTAGGTAACTACTTTGAATCATTCTAGAATTCCCCCAATTTTCTCTAAGAAAGTAGTGGTCCCATTTAAAAAATGAGGGATAGTATAATCTAATGTAAGTTTGACAAAGACAGTTAATATAGAAGTCAAAACAAATAAATAAAAGTAATTATAACGCTCTAGCAACTATTTTGAAACGTTCCAGTAAAGTAGCAGCTACGTTCCAAATAAACTCAAAAATCAAAAATTTCGTCCTTTCTTAAAACGACATAACTTTTTTGTTTCTTGAACGATTTTATTTTGGTTTGTGATGTCTGCTACCCCCATTCTCTGGCAATTCATGCTATAGATATGAAGCTCACGGTTCTTCACCAAAATTTACTACAGGGTGATATGAAAAACAGTGAAAAATGTCAATAACTTCATCCAAGCCCCGTTTGTAAAATAAATATTTTTTTCTCGTTTTTACTTTGAAATAATGAAGTATTATGTCTTACCTTGAAACGTTTTTCAAATTTTTTGAATTGGAATCTTAGCAACAAGAATGTGATTTTTTTTTCAAAATAGTACATTTGATGCTTTTTTGTAAGCAATACACTCAGCCTTTTTAAGATATCATATCATCCTGTAGGAAATTTACTTGAAGAACCGTAAGCTTCATTTCTATAGCATGCATTTCCAGAGAATGGGGCTGGCAGACATTACAAACCAAAATAAAATCGTTCATTAAACAAAAGTTATGTCGTTTTGAAAAATGACACATTGACTGATGCGCAGTTTAGGAGCAGGGTTTATAGCTAGTGACATATTTGTTACCTTTTTGGAACTCATTAATTGTTCCCCACTTTAGTTGTAACTTGGTAATGAAAGAGTAATATAAAGAGACCGGCGACTGTCGCAAAACACTTTAAAGTTTCTTCAATAGTCCCATATTAAATTGTTGCTTGGGACACCAGCACTTGACACCGTATTTTTCTTTTGTAGCGCATTATTTTCTGGCAGCTTTTCGACGGACGAAGAGAGCGAGAGCGAAGGTAGCATAGTGTCGCCTTGCAGCCCCGAGATCTTCGCCGGCGACAAGAAGAGCCAGGTGGCGCCCCCTGTCAAGTACCGCAGGAAGGGACACGCCGCTAACTTGCTAGGTTGGTAGTTAATTAAATCGCGCGTAACGAAACGGCGGAAAGCGGAAACGCTGCTTGCGGAAATCAGCGACGTACGTACACAGTTTGTCGGGCGTTTCAGGGAAAACGTCAAAATTTCGAAAATGTTGACGTTTTACCTGGAACGACTGCATTTTACGCATTTTGTAATTAGGTTCTTCCCCCATTACACTATGATTGTTTTAGAAACTTTTTTCCCAACATTAAGTACTCCAGCTTAGTTTAACTAATTTTGGGCCGCTGATTTCAAAAATGTCATTAGTTTTTCTCTAGGACGTCTAGGATTTAAAATAATTTCGTAATAAAATGCTCTGCTCAATCACCTCAAAATGTAAGTTTTTTGTTACTATTTTAATTATTTATTAAATTATTTTGGCTTAAATTTATCTTGAATGTACTGAAGTAATTGCTATAAGACAAATAGATCATATCCTAGGGATCATATTTAGCTTAACAATATGACATTTTATGTAAAAAAACAACCATTATTTGACGTTTTGTCGTTTATTTTAATTATTAAATTGAAAGGGCAAGAAAGTAAGCAAGTTTCAGTATTTTTTATCCAAATTAAGCCCTCAAAATTTAATGCATTGCATAATTTTGCTTTTTTCTACCTTAAATTTATTAAGTCGTATCAAATATCGAATTGGATTATAGTATTATTGTACTTAATCCTCATCATCGTCGTACATCTTTTGCTGCAAATTCCAGCAAATGTCTCCTAGCAATGAATCCAACTTCTTTCCCCTATACCCATAGATATCTACCAATGGTCTAGATTTGCAATTACTTGGTGAAATCGTTCTCCATGTTTATCAGTTCGGCAAATTTATCACGATGAAAAAAAATAAAATGTATTCTAAATGACATATTAACGCTAATTCTTTGCAAAACGGAAAGCATTTTTTCAATGAATTAGCGCCAATTTTAGGCCCGATATGAAGCAAGAACATTTTCAATGACAGCTTTAACACTGCCATATGCGACAAGCTCGTCAACTTTGAGAGCATTTTTGAATGCTTGATCTTTCATTAAACGTCGTATATACGACGTTTATATCAGGTCCATTTAATATTCCTGCAAAATTAAAGTAGTAGGTATATCTCATAAAATTTTGCAATGAAATATTGCGTTGGTTTTTCTTGGGCGTAAAGGTACCCCAACAAAAACAAAACAAATTTACAACGACGACATAAATGTTCGTCTCCTTTCTCTTTCTCTGCCACTTCCATTACCACTTCCATTTCCTGCTCTTTTTTCATTTTTGGTTCTTAAAATCACTTTCAAGTAAAAATACAATTTAAAGTTTAAATTTTAAATGTCATGCACTTTAATGTGCTTGAACGATAAAGTAGATAAAGGCGCCTTTATACTTCAATTCGATATTAAATTTTGATAAGACTTAATAAATAAGATTGGAGAAAAATTTTTTGGGTACTTTAGGCATGATGTGAATAAAAAATATCAAATAATAGTCAAAGTGTAGTGCTTATACTGAAACCCATTTACTTTGTTGCCTTTTCAATTTAATTAGTTATTAAAAAAACGACACAAAAATACCAAAAAAAAACATTATAATTTTAGTTTCTTTGCAAAACATTCAAAATAGATTTAATGCAAAATAATTTAATAAATAATCAAAATATTAAAAAAAAACTTACATTTTGAGATAATTGGGCAGAGCATTTTATTACGCAATTATTTCGAATCCTAGACGTCCTGGAGCAAAACGAGTGGCATTTTTGAAATCAGCAGCCCAAAATTAGGTAATATAGGTGGGCGTACTCAATGTTAGTAATTCGAACTATCATAGTGTTATTAAAGTTTATTCACATTGTTTTTTAAATTGAAATCACCATAAGATTACCTAATTATAAAATAATGAGGTTTGTGATTTTAATAGTTATATCTTTTAATAAGTCATTCCACCCTATTATTACAATATACTATAAATATAAATATCACAAATTTCATAAAATATCTTACATTATTATTGGATAAAATCTTGCTTAACAGTTAATAACGACACATCCTGAATTGATGAAGAACTCATGGAACCATCTTCGTTTAAAGTCAAATCATTCCCCTGAAGTCTCTTCGCGATTTCTTCTCTTTTTAAGTATCTCCTATTCAATCGTTTTTCGTGTTTTGTAACATCCATTCCATCCACAAGCTTTTTAATATTTGACGGTAACTTGATATGTTTTGTTGACGACGTTACGGTTTTTTTTGCCGGTTTGTAAATGACCTCTGCAAGTGGTTTGGATATATTTTCTTTTTCTGATATTTTTTTTGTTGCTTTAGAGAGCACTGATTTGGTAATTTTTGTATCCCCCACTACATTCTTTTTGAGGCAGGTGGTAGAATTATTAATATAAATTCTTATAGGACTCACTATATGGTTAAACTTCGATTTGGTTTTACCTGGAGTTTTAGCTCTTGGAGTGGGCAATTTGGATGGTATTTTAAAAACCGTCTGGGGCGTTTTAATATCTGCTGTGCACTTATTAGTTAGAAATGAAGCTGAAATAATCGAATGTTTAGGCATTTTGTAGTCTAATCCTTGTTCCTCAAAAGTATCGTTAAATCTTATTGAGCTATCGTCGGATAAATTTCTTTGGGATTCCAACAAATCAATGCTAAAATTTTGGAGATCCGATCGTCTAATATCCGTGGTGTTGATTTTAGTCAAATTACGAGTAACAGCTTCATTGCAAGATTTATGTTCATAGTAAATTGTTTTTTCCGATATTCCTGATATTTCCTTGCATTCGAAACTTATGAAATCATCACTTTCATCATCTGTGATAACTTCTGAATTTTCAATATCATCCAAGATAGTTTTGTAGAACGTTGAAGAATTATCAACTATATTTAATTTTCTACTTATATCATCTACAAGCTTATCAATGCCAGACTTTTCTTTCAATGGAGTTCTTAATCCCAAATTGGTATGTCTTCTCTGAATATCCGTTCGGTTTGGTCTCTTGGTAAAATCCGATTTAATTTCCCTTAAACTCATGGGGCCCCAAGCTATCTCCTCGTCGCTATCATAAAACGATTCCATTGCAATAATAATAAAATTTGACAAATCAATTATTGACTTTTGTCTGATTGATTGTTTTTGATGTTGATAGGCAGCTTTGAGGAATCGGTTCTGAACGGACGCCTAGAGCCAGTTTCGACCGTCCACGGATTCAGGGCCGAACTAGGGGCAAGCGGATCGTTTGTGCCTAAGCACTTGGTCGTCCCCGTGACCGTGTTTTTCTTTACCTTGGGGGACAACGACAAAGTTTCATCGCCATATCTGGTAAGGAAACGTGCTTTGATGTGCGGAATCGCTTAGGCAACGTATACAGGGTTAAACTGTGTGTGTCTTGATGTTTTAGAGTCACATAAACCTGGGCAAAAAGGGTTACAACGTTCCGAAATGCGGTACTGTTCAGGTGACGCTGTTCAATCCTTTGGGCACGGTTGTGAAGATGTTCGTCATTATGTACGATCTAAGCGACATGCCTCCCAATTCGCAAACCTTCATCAGGCAACGCACACTTTACATGCCGACGCATTGCAAGGACGAGAACCTCGAATGGGGGCCCAAGTGGTTGAGGTATCTTATTCACCTGAGGTAAGAAACTGTGTTATGCGGCCAAATTTTCTACTTAATTTTTCGAAATTTATTTGGTAATAGCAAATGTAGCGATAAAAACATGTTTAGGTCAACATCCTAGGCTCGCCAAATTATGGCACGCCGTTTTACTTTTTAGTGGCAGTACCTAGAAAATTTAAACCATCATAAAAATAAACTTAATTTTTAAATTAAAATCTACCAATTTATTTTTTGGCGTATCAGATAAGTTTCCATATATATTTACATCATTCTGGTGTGATCTATATTTTTAAGCTTCAGTTTTTATTGTATGAATATTTTTTCCATTCAAAAAAGGTGTTTATATCGAAATAATACCATTTCATTTGTTAATTTAAAATTAAGGTAAAATAGAATATTTATTTTGGAATAAAAATTAGACAAGATTTAAATCTGTAAGCGCAAGGCGAATTTTCTCGATGAAAAATTGTGTTACGTACTACTGCCACCAAGCTAAATAACATAACGTCGAAGGTACATACGCTCGAAAATAAATTAGGCAACAGTGCAGTCCAAATTTTCAGTGCTATCATATAATAATGTATATCGACATGATTATGATTATTAAATTATGTAAGGGGTGCATTTTAACAAGACTGCCCTGCTAGTTAAGAAGATATTTATATAATTACCTGAATTGTCCTACTCGTTACGTGTTCGAGCCGACTACCTGTACAGTAATAAGCATAGAAAAAGAATATAAGATGTAATTGAAATAATAATAATAATAATAATAACTTAACATGAATGTAATTAATGGTGGATTGAAAATATTGTATTGTTTTTATCTTTATTTTTATTTCAATAAATTAGGAAAGAAATTAAGGAAAGCAAAACAGGTAATTAAATAAAATGGCAGCACAGAATTTGGATGCGCCGTTGCCTAATTTATTTTCGAGCTTATGTACCTTCGACGTTATGTGATTTCGCTTGGTGGCGGTAGTACGCACTATTCACTAGCGCCAAATTAAAATTCTGTTGGCCAAAATTTTAATTCAGCGAATTTTTCAGTCAGAAAATTTGAGGTACATAATATTTATTCCAAAAAATAAAAATAAGGAATTATTAGTTTGTCACATACAAATAGAATTGAATTTATTATCTAAAAAAATAATCTGCTATTATGAGGCGCCGTTTGTGCCATAATTATAAATAAAAAAATATGTTAATATAAAACAATATTTTAAAAATATATACCTAAATGTAAATCAAAAATTTTATATAATAATATGCGTAAATATATTTTATCAATAAAATTTATATATATATATATATAAATATGTATATATAAATATATATTATCACACAAAGTTATTTATATTTGCTTAACCGTTATCATTTATATTTTTAGAAGTTTATCCATATATATTTTTAGCATGTGCCATAATATACAGTTGGTTGCATACGCAGCGGGCGCTTACTAATGAAGTTGGCGTCTTTTCACATTACGAGTGGCAGCACTGGAAGGACATTTCAACTGTCAAAGTTGTTCATGTTTAAACAAAAGTGATTTTAAAACACTGTTTTGCGTCATTTTGCGTTTTCGTGAAACTTAAAACCAGAATATCAACAATATGTCATTATCTCCGTAGAAACTCCAAGTTATTAAATAACAAAACAAAACATATGGTATATAATGCGTATACTAACTCTCACTTACTGTATCTACCTGCTTTCTGGGGCCAGGCAAGAAAAAAGGACAAAAACCATTCAAACTACACAAAATAAAATTCTAAAACTTCTATTTAACAAATCACCCAGAACATGTACAAAAGAGCTTTATAATGAACTACAAATTTTAAACGTAAGTGAATTAATTAAAATGGACAGTGTCAAAATAATATATAAAATTAAAAATGGTCTGATTTGTACTGATGTAGAATTAACTAGAAATTGTGATATTTACGAATATTTTACAAGAAATAACTCACAGTATTATATAGCAAATACAAATACAAGTTTTGGCAAAAGAAGAATAACCCAAACTGCCTTGAATTGGTTTAATGAACTTCCGAAACATATTAAGTTGCAACAAAACCTAAAAGCTTTTTCTTCACATGTTAAGGACTAGGTATTATATGAAATTAAGAAAGTGATTTGACTCATGTGTAAAATTATATAAACAGATGTTATACTCATAGTTTTGTTATATTTATATTTCTACTCATATTTTCTGTGATGCTAACTTAGGAATATTTACTCATAAATTTACCTAGTTTGTTTATAGTTTTTGTGATATATAAGTACCTACCTGATATGGAATCTTGTATTCTTTTAAGGTTAATAAATAAATAAATAAAAAAAAAAGGTTGTGGCGAGTTTTTTTATTAGGTTTCTAATATAAACTTTATAGCATAAATTTTATAATACAAAAGGTGCGGTCGTTGAGTTATAAATCTGATTTTGGGAATTACAAATTAAGAATATGGAGGTTCAACAATATTTTGCACAATTAGTTCATGATGTAGGCCAAATGGAAGACCTAATAATGCAGAATAATATTGATATTCGACTTCTCGAAGAAGGTGCTGTTAAATTGGAGAATCACTGCTAAACTTTTGCTGTCTTTATGGGTATTTATCAAGCTATTGATGCTGAAATTCTTCATAATTTAAACAAAGCTTATGGAATAATTTGGAATTTATATTATACTGTTGACTGAACGTTTTATCCAAAGAACACCTTTGCCTTATATCTATGAATTGAACCAATGTATGTAACACGCCATAGAAAAAGGATAACACGCTACAAACATACAGGTATCACGAAAACGCAAAAGTTTTGCGGCAAAACACAGAACACAAAACGCTTGTTGCACTTTTGTTTTAAAAATGTCACATTTTAAATGTGACAGTTAAACTGTTCTTCCAGAGCTGCCACTCGTAATGTGATAAGACGCTAACTTCATTAGTAAGCGCCCGCTGCGTATGCAACCCAGTATATATTATGGCACATGCTAAAATATATATGGATAAACTGCTAAAAATATAAATGATAACGGTTAAGGAAATATAAATAACTTTGTGTGATAAAATATATATAAATAAATATTATTGATAAAATATATTTACGCATTTGATAATGTTAAATCTCAATTTATAATTTTATTTCTTTAAGTAATATTTTATAATTTTTGTTTTACATTTATATATTTTTAAAATATTGTTTTATATTTATTAATTTTTTATTTATAATTAAGGCACAAACGGCGCCTCATATGCTATTGCTAGATTTAAATAACATAATAATTAATAACAACTATACCACAACTTTCTTCCCATATAAAAATTGTTTCAAAGTGTTTTAAACAACAAAATAATTTGTATTAAAAGTAAATATTAAAATTTTTAAAAATAATAATAAAAATAACATTGTATTAAATTCTTATTAGTCAAACAAAATTTTGAGTAATATTAAAAACATTTAAATATTAAAACAAATATTTCGTGCAAAATATTTGTGTCGAATAGGAAATTCCTAACAGGTAAAGTGATTTTTATGTCGACGAGTAATAATAGAAATTAATTACGGCATAAGTAATGATAATTTCAGTATTACTTTTTCTGAAATAAATGTTGCGCACCTTGAATTAACTGGCTAAGAAATTTGATGAATTAAAGTTTTGGTTAACATAATTTCAATTTGACCACATGTTTCTCCAAGTAGCGCCTTATTAAAATTATCTCAACCAAAATTTTAATTCATCAATTTTTTTAATCAGAAAATATGCCATTCAGTTCCAGAATTAAAATTACTTTGGTTCTTATTCTGTTCTTAAAATTGTGTACTTAATATACCAATACCATAAAAATTTACTTTAAAATGTTCAGTCAATTTTTAAAAAAGCAACTTGAATTAACATTTAGGTTTAATAAACATTACATTAAAAAGTAAAACGGCGTGCAATACCAAATGGACCTAAAATTAAGAGTAACAAAATATATTTTATAATTATAATTATTTTTTACGCCATCTGTTGGGAAATTTAGTTGTCTTCAAAAAAGGCCTTTATTAATTATCTCATAAATATTGCGTTTTCAGAGATAATTGCGATTGTATCTTAAAATTGTCATTTTTTTTAACAAAACCTATTTTGTTAGAAAATCTTTATATATACAATAAAAATCGTTATAATAATAATATTGTTTACCAATTATAATACCAAACTAATTTTGAAGAAAGCGGATGTTTGATTCTCTCTATTGAATTTAAACTTTTACTAACAAGGCTGTTAGTACAGTTAATCTGTCGAAAAATCGGGGGGTACCTAACTTGCGGACAATATATTTTTTTTCCTAGAAAATGACTCCTTGAAACATTCAGTTTGAACATATTTTTCCAGATTCATGAGCTCCAAGTCGGGCAAAATATACCTGCACAGCGACATCCGCATGATAATATTCCGGAAGTCCGACATGGACACGGCAACAGCGCACGGCATCGACATGAGCTACGAGCTGCGCAGCTTTACCCACATGCCCGCCAATCCGAGATTCTCGCCGCGTAAGTAACTGTCAGTCGTCGAAAACGGGGCCCCGCCCCCTACGATGCCGGCGCCGCCGCGCGACTACTTTTACCGCCACGTATGTCGCTTCTTGCTCGGCTGTTTCGTGCCCAAGTAAAATCAGTGATTTTAAATCACACTGCTTGTGTTTTGAATCCTTAAAATGCATGGTTCGTGTTCACGTCTTTAGGGGGTCTTTGACTTTGTAGAAAGCTGGCTAAATATCTTTTGTTCGCTTGAATTTCACCGATTATAGATTAGGGTGATTCATTTCCGCAAAGTTTTTGTTTTCTTCGGTGCTCAGGCAAAATATTAATCTGCATATAGAAAAAAAAATTCCCAACAAGTTTGAGCTCTTAATATCAATTTTAAGTAATTACTGTTTAAATTTAAAGTTTTACCGTTTAAAATGCATGTAAAAAATATATTTTTTTTTTCAAATTTCTAATGCTTACCCACCTTTGACAATATTGCAAATCGGTTTAATACACCTTATGGGGAATTTCACGCTCTTTAAAATTGCTTTTGAGTTTTTTTTTGTAACTCGCATTGGTTCACCAGTAGGAGTCGTCAAAGGACAGTTTTTGAAAAAAATCGTTTTTTTTTTTAAATTTTTTCTAACAAACCGCAAAAAGTAGGGAGAAAAAAGGGCTGACTCATAAAAAAAAGTTATCCAACCAATATTTAATGAATTTACAGCCATTTTTATAACTGAAAACGTAAGAAATTGATAATTACCAACTCATAATGTTATTTAGATTGATTTTTTCTATTTATTATCATTATATTTCCCTACACTAGGAAGTTTTTTAAAATTATTATGATTTCTCACTCATAATGAATATGAAAACAACAGATAAATTCATAAAAAAAACAAGAAGAAAATTGTAACGTGGATTTTGCAATTTTTCAACATTTCTGTCATATAGCAAAAAAATATAAATGAAGATTATTTAATTTTTTGAAGCGAAATTTGAAATATGTTACATAACCTTCTGTATATTCCGATTAAAGTTTTGTTGTTTTTTTTATGAATTTATGTGTTGTTTTCATATTCATTATGAGTGAGAAATCATAATAATTTTAAAAAAGTTCTTAGTGTAGGAAAATATAATGATAATAAATAGAAAAAATCAATCTAAATAACATTATGGGTTGGTATTTATCAATTTCTTACGTTTTCAGTTATAAAAATGGCTGTAAATTCATTAAATATTGGTTGGATAACTTTTTTTTTATGAATCAGCCCTTTTTTCTCACTACTTTTGGCGATTTGCTCGAAAAAATAAAAAAACGATTTTTTTCAAAAACTGTCCTTTGACGACTCCTACTGGTGAACCAATGCAAAAAACTCAAAAGCAATTTTAAAGAGCGTGAAATTCCCCATAAGGTGTATTAAACCGATTTGCAATATTGTCAAAGGTGGGTAAGCATTAGAAATTTGAAAAAAAATATATATTTTTTACATGCATTTTAAACGGTAAAACTTTAAATTTAAATAGTAAGTGCTTAAAATTAATATTAAGAGCTCAAACTTGGTGAGAATGTTTTTTCCTATATGCAGATTAATATTTTGCTTGAGCACCGAAAAAAAACAAAAACTTTGCGGAAATAAATCACCCTATTATAGATATAAATCGTAAATAACTTTTGACAAAATTGCTAGTATAGAATGGTTTTGCCAGTCGGACCCTTATCAAATAAAGTTTTAAGGTAGATGTTGCCTACACAAGGTGCACCTGGGTATCATTAGAAGAGAGTATAAGGAATAGGACCCATTGAATTATATTTGGTTTTATTTGCATTTCGTTAGATGAATAGCTCATAACTGCCATTATATATTTGTAAATAAAGTTGTAAATATTTATTATTATTGAATTTTTGAAAATTATTTTTGTTTTTTTTTTGGTTTATTATATGACAATACTGGTGTAAATTTGTTATAAATTTTATGGAAATTACATCAATTAATTTACGTTAGAACTTTTTTTGAATTAGATTTGTTTTAGTTATAACCAGTAATCTAAAAGGCATATAATATTAGAGTCGTAAAAAGATATTTATTATATACATATATATACATTATATTATACTAATTTTTTATTAGTACTTAAAATAAATGTGTGAAAAATACTTCTTGTTTTATTTAACACCAATTTTTTATCTGAAATTTTACATATATACAGGGTGTCCCGAAATTAGGGGGCATTCTTCATAGAAAAGTAACACTTTTTTGTTAAATAAACATGTATTAAAAAATGCCCCCTAACGGAGCTACGGCCCCCTGAATAGGAGCCTGAGAGAATAGTTTTTTTAAAACTATTCCTAGAGCGTTAAACATGAAGATATGAAATTTTGGCATTTTGGTAATTTTTAGATGCTGAATCAAGATCTAAGATCAAAACTGTTAAAATTTAATCATAGGCGTAACATTTGGGAGGGAAAAGTTATAAAAATAGCCCCAACTTTTTTCCGAGATAATATTTTAATTTTTATTTATGAAGACTTTATCCAGAAAAAATTGAAGGTTAGTCTTATTTTAGTCTTATACCTACCTACATTTTTAATTGCAGAGGTATATTTTATTTATTTTAAAATATGGGAATTACACATCTAAAATGAATAATTTAGAATGTATTTTAAGATATTTATTTGTCAGGCAATAAGAAGATTAATAACCTCTATAATTACATATTTTTAAAATATGGGTCTTATAGTAATTTAAGTGTAAACTATTTGAAAACGTTTACCTATTTTTTTTGTTTTTTTAGTGTCAAAAGTTTATTTAATGTTATTTTAATTAAAAAAGATTGTTAAACTGTTTAGTAAGTACCTATAAAGCTTTTGTGTTCAAAAATGAGTAGAAATTCATGAGCTCAAATTTTGAAAAGTCTAGAAAATGGTAACTGTCAAAATTGAGATTTTTTTTATTTTTGGCGCCATCTGGGTCAAACCCTTATTGGTAGTGTCCAGACTCAAAAATTATGTTTTATATGTATTATTTTATACTGTAAATGTATATGAAATGTAAAAATCATCTTCTTAGCAAATTAGGGCAAACAAAAAAGCTTACATAAACAAAATAAATACAATTTTATTACATAAAACTAATATTACCTTAAAATTTATCAGCATTATTCTTAATTTCACTAAATAGCTCTTTTTCTACAACGGGAATTAACATTCTATCTTCCTCTAAATTACAGCTTAAAAACACGCTTTTTTTCAACTTCCTCGATAATTTAGCCGCAAAACCTTGGGAAACCCCTTGTAAAGCACTTCCTACCAAAGTTGTCCCGATTGGTGTATTATTAAAACGACTAGCCACAGACAAGGATAAATCTGTTAAACTTAAGTTGTCCTTATCGTTAATGTAAATTAACGTGGAGTCTTTCATTTTAACTACTTGAAAAACTATTTTCTTGTCCATAACTTCTTTCACAAAACTGTGAGTATCAAAGTTTGATTTCGTGTATTCCAATGATTTTGTCATGTTCTAAAATAGTTGCAGTTATTTAAATATATGTTTTTGTAAAGATGTTTTACTTACGAAAAGGTTTAAATTCGAAGAACTGTTATAAATAAAATTTTGTTTGAATGACTGTCAAATGTATGGTTATGATTTTATTGTCATGCTATCCGCGCCACCTATGAGATGATTTTTGCAGGATACAGATTTCATTAATGAGGAACGCCTAAATGCAGGAATGGGCTCCATCTTAATATAATTTTTGCGTAAAATAAAACAAACCAAATCAAACCAAACCCAACTAACCCAACCCCCCGTAACCGCCCTATTGAAGCCTAACCACCCTATTGAAGACGATTATTCCTTCGTGCATTGCCCTTTATCTCGAACTTTGTTACCGATGGAATAATCGTCTTCAATAGGGTGGTTAGGCTTCAATAGGGCGGTTACGGGGGGTTGGGTTGGTTGGGTTTGGTTTGATTTGGTTTAATTTTACGCAAAATTTATATTAAGATGGAGCCCATTCCTGCATTTAGGCGTTCCTCATTAATGTGTTTAATAAAAAGGCAACCAATCCATCACATTTATGCAACGTTTGTTGCCTAATACAGGTGTAATTTTTAAAGTTTTATAACCAATGGTTTTTAGATGGAATTAAAGCCTCTAATTTAGAGGCGCCAATGTTACCTTTTTTTTTTAATGGAGGGAAAAATAATCATTTTTTTATCAATCGGTTTACTATATATTATTCCACTACCAATGAGTAAAACATATTTTTAACAAAAACAAATAAATTAGGCTTCATTCATCATAAACCTCGAGGGCATTTTTCTTTTGACGCGGACCTTGTCCCATTCGTAAATTGATGGATCATCTCCTAATTCTTCTTCTAGTTTTTTCAGGGTTTCGGAGTTGAAAATTTCCGGGTAGTATTCGTATTTTTCAGCGATTTCAGACCAAGTGGGATCTAAAGCAAAATTAATTAGTTCTCTTTCAGTATTTTTTTTTAAATAAGTACATTTTAATAACTTTCCCAGGCTATCGGTATCCTCTTCGTTTGAGTTTTCTTGTGTAACCATCTAAAATTGTATGTAAAAATATATTAAGAGTTTTTTGAAGAATTTAAAAAATATATTTTGACCTGATTTCTTCTGCCAATCCGAGGAACAGATTTGGAAGCTTTCAGAAAGAAATTATCAAAATCTTCCTTATTTCTGGTATTTCTTCCAATTCTAGGCACACTTTTTGAAGCCTTAAGAAAAAAATTGTTGCCCTCTTCAGCATTGACATCTTGTAACAGTGGAAAAACAACTAAACAAACACAAAATACAATACGAAACATGATTGTAAACCTACTGAATATTTCTTTTTATTTTTGTCGTTTTATACTAATTTCAGATCTAATTTGTATTCATTAAACATTACTAAAGTGAGTCAAATAAATTTAGAGATGGCAAGATATAATTGGAACTTTTGCCTGATAATTTTGTTGATTATAACCCCTATGTGGTTCATTTTACAGGTGAGCACCTGCCTCATTAGTTGATATTCAGGTGAGTGCAAGTAAAATTGGCAATAAATCGAATTAGGTTTTAAATAGAATGAATAATAAGGTTTTTGATCTCTAGCAAAGTTGTAATCTTGGTGATTCTTTTTAAGATACCAAATTTAATAGTAAACTTAAAAAACATTTTTAATAAACAGCTACAACCTCCACATCTTCCAGGGACGGACTGTTACCTTTGGGGGCCCTGGGATTAAGCTGTTTGGGGCCTATACAATTATTATACCTACCTATATTATATTTATAGATATTATAAGATATAAGATATTTATAGAGTTATAATAAAAAAGGGATTTATTTTTTTCGTGGGATTGACCCACTTAACAAACATAAATAAAAAATAAATATACCTAAATGGCATTATTTTATTAACAAATTAAACAAAACAACATTCTTAGAAAAAATAACACTTGGGTGAATCTCACAAAACGTCCCCCGATGGTGTTACCCCGTGATATTTAATAAAAGTAAATGAGTTTGACCTACACTTTTATTGCGTTTTGATCTTTCAGATTTTTTACCGCAATTAATTATTTTTTACAATGTTTTAAAAGTCTAAAACCTATCCTCCGTGACTGTTACTCTTTCTAGGTTAACCTATATGTTTTCAAATATCTAAGGTAGTAAAAGCATGCTAAAAATATCAGTTCACTAAGTAAATTAAACACATCCAAAGCAATCGAATCAAATATAAAATATTATTAAAAATTAAAAGAAATAATTTGTATAACCATTTATGTTGGTGTTACAAAAATTGATTCTATCCTCCGTGAATCTGTTTTTGCTTTAAATTTTATGCAACGGATGGCGCTTTAATCATTTTAAATAGGCAAAAACCTCTGTTTACGAAATTTTAGATGCATTTGATTCCTGAAGGTCAGTTAGAATTTATATGCAGATGAGAGTGTTGCTGTTTTATAATTCAAAAGTTTAAGTTCATTAATTTGCTATTTAAAACCTATCCACCGTGAAGTGTAATATCTCAGTAAGTAGATTTTTTTTTACAAATACTGTATTGTATCTTTAAAAAATATTAAGCTGTCAAAAGATACAATAACTTATTTCAAATATACAAAGGGATGTTAAAAAAAACGAAATCCTAACCTCCGTGAAGCTATCTTCCGTGAAGCTCTAATATTCAAAATGTATGATTTTTTAAAATTCTTGCATTAGTGCAGAACCACTTATGTTATGTTATGTTATTACTAGACCTGGTGGCTTCTAAAAAACCCCATTCTAGACTAACAGTGAAACAACCAAAAATAAAAAATAATCATTTTCACTTGGGGGACATCTCAATATATTACCCCACTTATACTTTAAATAAATAAATAATAGTATATTATGTATCAAGTTTGATAAACCATTAACATTGCCCGTTATTAACTTTAAAATATGATTATGATATAAGAAAATATGTTACCCTTTGTTTTTTTTATTACTGTAATTGGAAAATATTATCACAAAGTATTAAAAAGACACATTTAGTATTATTTTACAAGAAAGGCACTTTATTTTAACGATTGCATGACATTTAAAAACTGTCAACTAACTTAAAACTAACTTCAGCCTGTGACTAAAAACCTGTGGCCTGTGAATTAAAGGCCATAAAGGCACAATTTGTCAATGTGTATTAAAACAAAACTTTTTGGAATTTCTAAAATCCTCATTTTTTTTAATTTCAATATTTTTAAAATTTCCAAAATCATTTGTATTCGCACCACCTTTATATACTTAATAGAAAATGTTAAAATTTCATGAATTTTTTTAAATTAAAATCCAAAATCATGAAGCACACTTTTTTTTTATTTTTGCTGTTTTTATTTGTAGTTTACACCAAGGCCGTAATTTTCGTGTCCCCACATTTCTAAAACCACAAAAAATCCCCTAAATCAGATACTGTTCAACAACCAACAAAATTATTTAATCCGCCACTGCCCGCATAAAACTCCAACACCAACACCAACCCAACGGAAACAAAAAACATCGAGCGCCACATTTTCGCAGCCAACCCTGTCTGCACGGGGCATACGTCCCATTGTCCGAAACAACGCAACCATAGGCATTGTCCGAACCGGAATGGGACGAATCCACTTCACTGGTCCATCTGCCCGAAGGAAACCATCTTAAAAATATGGTTCTGCTGGTTCCTCGGCCAATAACAGCGATTCTTTTTAAAATCGTTGCCATGGCAACCGTTGTAATGGGACTGAGGGGCGTGGCGTGCCAAGGCATGCGCGATAACGGTTAGCGAAGATTGCAACCGTGAAACCCGCGAGTCGCGTCTCTGCGAGTTTGACTACTCACCAACAGATGGCAGTGCTGGGTTAAAAACCATTTAATTTGTAAATTAGTGCTATTTAGTTTGATGAATGAATGCCATGTAATTAATCTGTGTTAATATTTTATTTATGTGGCACATTTTGTGTAATAAGGCAGGTTTAAAATATCTTGATGCGTCACAACCCAAGTAACAATTATACCTACACTGTTAAAAATGTTTGTAAAATTACTACATTTTTCCTAAGCAGTTGCATGCCTAGTAAAATTACAAAATGTATTGCAATTTTAATACGCATTTTTTGGAATATTACATTTTGTTATAGCCAAAGTACTAAACAGGTTCCAATTTTACAATGTTTTTGTTTTTGTCAGATAGATAGATACTTGTGGTAATTTTACAATTCTGTAAAATGTAGAATTGAATTTGAAATTTTGTAAAATTTCTATACATATTCGGAATTTAATATTACTAAGATAATCAATAAAATTACTAACCAAAATTTGCTATTTGAATTACAATAAGTGTTTGGAAATATACAAATCATAATTTATTTAATACAACTTCTGTTTGCATTTTACTATATGTATATCATTTTAATCATGTACACTTTTTTGTAAAATTACAATTGTTTTGCAAAACAAAGGATGAGTAAAATTACAAATCAGTGTATACCAGTACAAATTTTGTACTACAAAATTATAATACAATTTCAGTAATGTTCCAAGACATGTTGGGAAATCTACTAAGATAAGTTGTAATTTTACAATCTATATGTATAAATCCCACACTCATTGTAATTTTAATAAACAGTTTGACAGTTTCTAGTAAAAAGCATCTCAGATTTACAAACGTTGTTTATAATTTGATTTGTATGTACCGATTACGGCAATCACGTGATGTTCTTACATCTCGCCTCAGTTGACTTAGGTGGAGAGTATATAAGCTCAAGTGTCTTTCGGTTTTGGTGTGCTCCAATACACCAAATTGCCTAACATTGATAAGACCCAATATAGGTCTGTCTGTCTAGCTGTTTGTCGGTATTTGAAGTTGGTGGAACGCACTTAAAACAAAAACTCTGGCGAGGTGAAGGTTCAATTTTTTTAAATTTTTACAGTAATGGGTCAAGAAAGTTTCTTGAAGAAACTAACGTTTTGTACTTTTCCCAAATTAAGGTGTAATGAATCGTGTAGTGAGTTTACAAAACTGAGTTTTATTATTACTATATTGTGGTGCGTAAAAACTTCCTAAACATGTTTAGTAAAATTACCATAGAAATTTTTAACAGTGTATAGATAAAGGCTAAAAAATCAAATATTCAAGTAGGTACTTACACTATGTGTTTTCACGAAATCTATTACACGAAAACGTCCCATTTCAGTAGGTAACATAAAACTCGTGATGGTTGATAAAAGCCTTTTCGATAAATATAACATAAAGATTACTAAACAAAAACATTAAAAAAGGACTATTTTTAAATATTGCGTGCACGCATCCACATCAAGACTAAGAAATCATGCGATTCGTGGTTATACATATATATATATATATATACTTATATATATACATGGTGAAAACCTTTTTCTGTTGGATATAATATATATATATACGAGGTGTGTTCAGAAAATATCGGGAATTTTCGTTTTTTGAAAAAAATATTTATTTAATGTTGTCGCCTTCAAAATAGTCCCCATTGGATATTATGCACATGTGCCAGCTCTTCTTCCAATACTCGAAACCCTTCTAAAACTCTTTTCTATCTTTGGGATAGCCTTTAGTTCTTTCAGCGATGCGCTTTTAATGTCATCTATGCTTGCAAAACGACGGCCCTTTAAGGTTCTCTTTATTTTTGGGAATAGGAAAAAAGTCAGACAGACATTACAGTTTTGTTTTTGGCCAAAATTGTTGTTCAAAATTTAACAATTTTAGAACAAATTTTGCTGCCACGCGTTTCATACCCAAAACATTCGAAAAAATTTCATGGGATGAGCCAATCGATATACCAACATCATCAGCGACTTCTCTGATGGTTTATAACCATTTCTTCCACTTTTTCCATGTTTTTATCGGTTGTTAATGTGCTTGTGCATCATCTTCAACGTCTTCACGTCCATCTTGGAAACTCTTATACCACTTGTAAACTCTTGTTTACTTATAGCAGACTCACTATAGGCCTTTGTTAACATTTCACAGAATTTATTTCATTTTTTTAAGCAAAATTGGATACAAATTCTTTGATCCATTTCTTTTAACGAACGAAAAATCGCCGAGCTCAAAAAACACGTCTAACCTTAGCGGCTGCCACAGACAAAGTAAACAATAAAAACAGCTAAAGTTTTTAAACATACTTCGGGGGCATGTATACCAACATAATAAAGAAAATTTTATGACAACCGGACCCTCCGAACCCGCGAAATTTAACAATTCCTCTTATTTTCTGAACAACTTTTCTATAATGCAACACAAACTGCCACCCACCACATCTTCAGTCATGTGATATGAAACCACCAATTAGAGCAACTGCATATATAATTTTATTTATTTATTAATGTTTTGGACCACCCTGTACCTGTATCCATTTAAGTAAGTAAAGCCTAATTTTAGAAACATTTCATACTCACTAAACATAGTGGAATAGATGCTGATTAAATAACAGCAATTACTGTGTTCATTGTAACGATTTAAACTGTTTCTCTAAACTCATGAGTTTTAGTTTTCATAGCGAATCATCGGCCATGAATAATATGTCGAAATTGACAGTTATTTCTACCTACAGTCACAATCATAAACTGTTTCTGCAGTGTATTTTTTGCATTTAATTTAATCATTTCGTTTTCAGGCCATCATGCATATCCTATCAGCATGCAAATAAGCTTGCTATCCCAAGTAACACTAATGCTCTTATTACGATCTCCAAGGTCGATTTAAAACTATACAATAAAACTTTGAATAAAACCAAATGATCTTCAAGATAGCCTTAGGATCATTATAAAGCAGCTTCCAGCCAAAAAGGGCCAATTCTAAAAGGTGCATCAAGACTAAATTTTAAAACCCTATTAAAACCATTTAAGTTCTTTAAGGCAACTTTAAATTTTAGTTTTCTTAATGGGTTTTAATGAGTACATTACTATTTGTTCCAAAATGAATTGTTTTAAAACCAACTTGCTATTTAATCCTTAAAAAAAGCAAATTAGTTTTAAAATAGCCAATAGCTTTAGAACCAATATCGTTTTATTGAACGTTTATTGAATGTAATTTTACTAAACATGCTTGGGAAGTTTTTACGCACCACAATATAGTAATAATAAAACTTAGTTTTGTAAATTCACTGCAAGATTCATTACAACTTAATTTGGGAAAATTACAAAACGTTTGTTGAAATTCACTAAGCATTTATTAAAAATTTATTCAGTAACATTACTATACAGGCATTGTAATTTTGCTAAAAATGTTTAGTAATTTTAAAATGGTTTATTGTTATTATACTATACAATTAATTTCAACTCAGTTTAAGAAAACTAAAAAATATATTTTACAATTTTACTGAACTGAAGAAAATTTGTTTCGCAATATTACAATACAAATAATGTTATTTTGTACAACAAATTACACTAAAAATATTTAGTAATTTACGAATGATGGTATTGTAATTATACTACGAAAAAAACCCTGTAATTTTCTTAGTTTCTTTAAGAAATTTCCTGACCCATTACAGTAAAGATTTAAAAAAGTTGAACCTTCACCTCGCCAGAGTTTTTGTTGTAAGTGCGTTCCACCAACTTCAAATACCTACAGACAGCTAGACAGACAGACCTATTTTGGGTCTTATCAATGTCGGGCAATTTGGTGTATTGGAACACACCAAAATCGAAAGACACCTGAGCTTGTATACTGTCCACCTAAGTCAACCGAGGCGAGATGTAAGAACATCACGTGATTGCCGCAATCGGTGCATATATGCACCGTAAAATGCATAGTATACTATGCATTTTACGTAACATTATAGCAAATCAAATTACAAACAACGTTTGTAAATCTGAGATGCTTTTTATTAGAAACTGTCAAACTGTTTGGTAAAATTACAATGCGTGTAGGATTTATACACATAGATTGTATAATTACAACTTATCTTAGTAGATTTTCCAACATGTCTTGGAAGATTACTCAAATTGTATTATAATTTTGTATTGGTATACACTGATTTGTAATTTTACTCATCCTTTCACACAGAAAAATAAAATTTCATTTTAAGAAGAATTATTGTTTTCAAAATGTTTACTTCATTCAAAACACAATAAGTTCTAATTAAGACTATGCTTTTACTTGGAGAAAAACGCTAAGATTACTGGGAAAATGTTATTTCTTTAAATTATTTTTTTAACTGAAACATAACGGTTTCATTTGGAATAATTTTTAACAACTTAACATAGGAATAAGAAAATGTTTGAATGAAAAGAAAACTTATTCTTGAACTGATTCAACGATTTTTTCGGGCGAAAATTTTCAACGACAAAATGTATTTGTTCAGATAGAATATAATTTTTATTTTGAATAGTTATATGGTTTCTTTAAAAATTCTCAATTTTTAAATCAAACAAATATATTTGATTCAAGAGTATGTTTGTTTTGAATAAACCCACGCATGCGCCAAGGTACCATCCCCTTGGTCTTGACTCAGCGTAGCGTCCTTCTTTACATGACGGTATACCGTCATGTAAAGGTATATCAGCGTTGCCAGATGGTCAAAATGAAATTACCGTACCTGCTTGGTAAAAATTACCGTATTTAAGAAAAAATTACCGTACATGAAAAATTAACATAAAATATTTAATTTATAAAAGCAACAAAACAATTTTAACAAAGTTAAAAAATATTTTTTATTGAAAACTCAAAATAAATAAAAATTAATTTAAATAAAAAACATTTACAAAACAACTCAAATAATAAAATAATA